AAAGAAAAGAATATAAAGAAGGTTCGATTTAGTACCAGTTTCTTTATATAAGTTATAAATCCAATATACATTTATGACATTTACTTGTTTTATATGTTTACAGATAAAAAAAATCTGTATTTATCGTTATTGTTTTATCATGGAATGATTTCATAAATCCCGCTTAATTTCATTTTAGAATCTTTCGTATACAGAAATAATAATTTACCGTCGGGCAACACTATCGACTAGGAAGGAAATCGATCATGTTGTGGCAATACCATTAGACGTCAGGAATTTTCTACAGAACGTTCTAGAACAACTGAGAAATAAAGTCTTCTCGATATAGTTGTGCTCGACCGAGCTCGCATCGACTTTTCTTAAAAGCGCCGCATTATATGTCGTAATAGCCATTTTTAATCGTAAAACGTTTATAAAGAATACTTGACTACATTGAGAATCTATTTTATTTAACTCAAATAAAGGTAAGTCATTTTAATTTTGCGACCATGCTTGTTTCGCACTATCATTACATGTAATGTAACTCTTCTAGAACAATCATGGTTAAAGAAACTACATATTATGATGTGCTGGGTGTAAAACCAGGCTGTACACCTGAAGATTTAAAGAAAGCATATAGAAAATTGGCCCTTAAATATCATCCTGACAAAAATCCAAATGAAGGAGAAAGGTTCAAACTTATTTCACAGGCTTATGAAGTGCTTTCTGATCCTGCTAAGAAAAGTATATATGACCAAGGTATGCACTTTACTTATTAATTACAATTCCAAATAGCTCTTAAATTTATAAGAAAAAAGGTTTTTGCATCTCATATGATTTTCATGTTTTATTCCCACGACTGACTTTAATACCAGTATATTGGATTTTAACAAATTCTAAACTCTTATTTCGACTAATATTTGATTGATAATTTTATACTAGATCAAACTGCTGACACTACAAATTTATTCATGACATCAAAAATCATGTTATAGGCTATTATAATTATTTTTTCTACACAACCTGCTGGTAACAGATTATTTTTATTAATATAGCCTTAATTTATTCAATTTCTTTCATTGAATTGTAATAAAAGCATGCAGCTACAAGATAAATGTTATAAAAGATAATTGAAAATTACATTTTATAAATCAAATTAAGTTTTGCAATCAAATTAATTAAATTTTGGAATAATTTGTTAAAGATGACATATAACTGAATTATATTGAATATTAGTCATAAGCTAAATTCTCTCAAAAAGGATACTTTATAAAATGTGAATAGTAGTAATATATTAGTGATATATTGTCTTTCATTTTGTTCCAATTTATAGACTTTATTACAAAACTGTTTCAGGTGGAGAACAAGCTCTTAAAGAAGGTGGAACTGGTGGTGGAGGATTTAGCAGCCCCATGGATCTTTTCGATATGTTCTTTGGTGGAGGATTTTCTGGTGGACGAGGTGGAAGGTAATAAAATAACATATTGCAGCTGCTGTGAAATACGTTTTTTTTAAATTTGAATTGTCATTTATAATGTTAAATTTGAAATTTTGTTAGTTTGTTAAACCTATTTTATTTGCAAATAGTGGTAATAAATCATCATAATTGTATAAAAATGTGAAGAGATGTATAATCAGTATTTATTTTGTGCCAATATGGGTAGAGAATATTTCAATTTGGTGTTGTCTTGATAGAACAACATTTAGAATACCATTATTAATAATTTTATTTCTCAGAAGGCGTGAGCGTCGTGGCAAAGATGTCATTCATCAGTTGCCTGTGTCTTTAGAAGAACTCTACAAAGGAGCTGTTCGAAAATTGGCTTTACAAAAGAGTGTTATCTGTGACAAGTGTGAAGGTCGGGGTGGCAAAAAAGGTGCAGTGGAACAATGTCCAACTTGTCGTGGTACTGGCATGCAGGTAAATTTTTGAACTTATATATAATTTATATTTGTAATAAAAAAAACTTATCGTTTTTAGCTTAGATTAGATTTTAGAAATTGCTTAGAATTCCACATAAATTGGATAAAAAAACATTCATTGACATTTTCAATTATTTATAAATTTGTTCTTAATACCCATTTTATTGGATATATAGTTTAGACATTGGGAATGTTTTTCTTTTCAGTCATATAAAGTTATAAAAAAATAATTTTATATTTATCATAGCAACTTATATTAACAATCTATAATCATGAAATTAATATTTCAATAGGTTCAAATACAACAACTCGGACCAGGAATGATACAGCAGATTCAATCTGTTTGCTCTGAATGTCGTGGATCTGGTGAGAGAATTAATCCTAAAGATCGCTGCAAACAATGTCAAGGTCGCAAAACAACGCGAGAAAGAAAGATCCTGGAAGTAAGTTATTATGTTAATAAAATTCATCTATAAAAATAAAATTCAAACTGAAATATGAAAATCTTGTATTATTCTGTTTGTCTTAATGATCATTTAATATATAAATTGCTAATACTGTCCATTATTATCAATTATAAAGTAATTTACATTTTTCTTCCATAATCATACAACACTTTTCTTATTCTAAATAACAGCAAATGTCCAAATGTATGACATGCAAAAATGTGAAAGACTTGTGTATTAGATAACAACATTTTATTTATAAATTTCTTATTACAGGTCCATGTTGACAAAGGTATGACTGATGGCCAGAAAATTGTGTTTGCTGGTGAGGGTGATCAAGAACCTGAATTGGAACCAGGAGATATAGTAATCGTTCTTGATGAAAAAGATCATCCGACCTTCAAGCGTTCAGGAAGTGATTTGATTCTTAGAATGAATATCCAACTTGTCGAGGCTCTTTGTGGTTTTCAAAAGGTGATTTTATAACATTATCCATTTATTTGGATTTATAATTATGTTAATTCTCATTTAATATTGTTTTTGATTTTAAAATGAACTGCTTTATCAATATATTATGATTTATAATTATGATATTAATTTTCATTTAATATTGTTATTTTTGGTGAAATTGATTAATGAAAATGAGTGTTTTTTTTAGGTGGTCAAAACTTTAGATGATCGTGATTTAGTAATGACATGCTTGCCTGGAGAAGTCATAAAGCATGGTGATGTAAAGTGTGTACTTAATGAAGGCATGCCACAATATAAAAATCCTTTTGAAAAAGGTAAATATCATATTACTTTTAATTGCAGTTATTATAATTTTGTAACTGATGTAATATTCAAATTACTTTCTTATAGGACGTTTGATTGTACAGTTTCTGGTTACATTCCCCAACGTTATTCCTCCAGAAATGGTTGCAGCTTTAGAGAGATGTCTTCCACCACGACCAGTAGTTGAGATTCCTCCTGGTTAGTAATGTACTTTGAACTATATTTGTTAACTCCACTATTAAAGCTATTTCAATTTAATCTAGTATGATTAGGTGCACTAGTTTTACAATATTTCTTTGTCGTACTTTTATTCAATATTTGGACAGAAACCAAACTAAGCTGGATAGTATATATAAAATACTATATTTTAAAGTATCAACAGAAAACTATGACATTACTTGTGGTTGAAAATATTTATGAAAAAAAAAAAAAGAAATTAATTAGTAGATGAATTATTAGGGTTTTTTATATTAATTGAACTTAATCTTGCATAATTTCAATTTCTTAGGTGCTGAAGAATGTATGCTTATTGACATGGACCCAGAACAAGAGGCACGAAGACGTAGTCATAAAAATGCATATGATGAAGATGATGAGGGAGGACCTGGAGCAAACAGAGTTCAATGTGCCACGAGTTAAATCGTAGTAACTTAGGGCATTGTTTTAAAGTATTGTCTAACACTATTTATATAATTTTCCTACGATGATAACATGAGTTTTATGTCATCTATCATATTTATCATATTGATACTTGGTTAGGGTTTTACATTGCACAATTATTTGTGACTTTGTAATTACACAGATAAAATGCTCCACTGTTACGGATTGGAACACCCAAATTGTCTTAGTGTAGTAATTTTTTTTTTTTTAGATAGACAATCTTTATTTTTTGTATGTTTCATAGCTGAGAAATGCCTGGCCTATGTGATATTTTGTTCCAGTACTTGTATTTTTTTGTATTGATTTCAAATCTTATGTGATAAGGTTTAAATGGAATAAAAGAGTGAGCATTTAGTTTATGCTTTTGTCAAATTTATTGTAGGCAAAAATCAAAAACATTCTTTAGTATAAGTAAATGATTCTTGAATATTATTGGTAGAAAAGAACCATCAATTATCAACAATTATGTGTAAATTATACAATATTGTATGTTCTTGAACATTAAATATATCCTCCAAATCAATGTTTGATTTTGACTCAATAACATTTTAGATACAAATAAAATTAACAGGCAATTACATTTTTATGAAAGTTGTTGCAAAAATACTAAAAAGATTTGCTTTTATAAATACTGTTAGCTATATAAACTAATTATATACATTAATTTTAATGAACTAGATTTATTTGAATAGTATGACTCAGCAAATTAGTATTTGCTCTTTTAAGTTTTTAAAATGTTTCTTCAATCGTTATGGTTAAAATTTGGTTTTCTTAAAAAATATCTTGAATTGAATATTTTATAAATGACTTCTGTCTTTAAATTTAAAAAATTCATTTAAAGCTTCAAATTTATAAAATACTGTTCTGTCTCTTCTTCAAATACAAGTATTTGAACCATTGTCGCTAACACACTAAATTTAGAATGAACGGCTTTGCTTTGTGACTCGAATATTGATTTCAAAAAGCCCGCGCACAATTTTGCCATAGATGCAATAGATATTCCCTAAAACACCGCGAGAGGCGCGCGTGTCGCCGCAACGCCAGTTGACATCTTATCCCCACTGGCAACACAATTACCAATGTAACGCGCAATGTTTTATGGGAGATTAGTGTAGCCATTTAATTCTACTACATCATTTGTGCTATGGACTCTCTTAAAAAAAATTGCGTATGAACACTAATTATATTAATTTTTCAATTAGCAAAATGTGTTAAGTAGTCGGTGTAAGTGTAGTGTTGTGATTTAGGTGCGTGTTTTGTGTGATTTTGGCATGTGTGTTGTGGAATTTAGTGAATACAAAGTGTTCATAGACAGGTGTTGTCTTTAGCTTCTACATGACACTGCTCCAAATTAAGTATTTAAGGCTGAGTGTTTCCCAAATAAAAGTGTGATGTCAAATCGATTAACTACTGGAATTATCTCACATTGTATAAAAACGAAATGCAGGTATGTAAATAAAACTTAACAAGCATCCAAATAAACTTTTTGAAGTTTAGTTTTATTGTAGAGTAAATATTTATTATACCCCAATAAATAGAAACCCTCATAGTACTATAAAATTTTCCAATTTATTAATTTATTACTCAACTGAGTTATCATATATTCACGTATATATCCTTATATCAAATTGAGATTTAAACTTGTTTGTTTTGTAATTCAACACCGAACATATGTTCGACAATGTTTATTTTCGTTAGCAATTTGTCATTTAATATATTGATTATATCATTTTAAAAGCTATTTATCATCTGTCTTGTTAATTATGATAACGTTTATAAATGTTTTTAAACATTGTGTGATAATAATCATCATTTGGAATTATTTACATTAAATGAAATTGATATACCAAATGAAATATTGAAGTTTAATTGGAATTATCAGAAAACTTTATTTTAACGAGTGATTATAAATATGTATTTAGGCGCCCGATTATAAAGTGATACAGATGTTGAATTTAGGATTTATTATGAAGCGTATTTAATTGCTATAATATTTAATTTAAATTAGTTCAAATTAATGAATAATTCAATCATTATGCAATATTCAACTAGCAATACGTATAAATTATCACAACATTTATTTGAATAATTAATTTGAATTATTTTTATCTTATTGACACGTAATGTGATCATTGGTAATTTGATAACGAATGGTAGAAACTTTTTTTTATCAAATTCATATAAATTATCCATATATGTGCATATATTTATATGTACATATATATCTTTATAATATGTTTTATATTTCACCCAGAATGTTGCTCCTTCTTTCTATTCCCAAATTGTTCGATTAATTTTTAATTCTTTCTATATTATGTCTATCGGAAACCTGTATTGGCATTTTGTTCCAAAAGCTATGTTTTGTATGTCACGCAGAATGTGTTCTAAAAATACACACATTCGAGGCAAATCAGTGCTCTTCAAACTGATTCGAGCGGGCTTCTGCGATTATTGTTTTATTATTGATATTGATTTTTTTAATGAATCAGTTATTAATTTTATAACATTTAAATTTATTATTAATAATGAATAGTATCATTAAATGTTAAGTCTTAATTGCTTATATTATAGTTTTATATAGTATTTGATTATTTAACAGCCAATTCGTCGAAATAAAATATATTGTTTATTTAAAATTGTACAATTTTGTGAAAGTCTTTTGTTTCTGCTTTTTATTTCAATATTATATTTCAAAATTTGTCTTTTTTATTAGTTCTTTTTACACCATAGGCGGGGTAAAATGGGATGGCCAAGGGCAAACAAATCCAATGTCTTATTTTTAATTTTAAAGGAATTTTACGAATAATAGCTACATTTTTCCACCAATGCAAAATATAAATTTCATGTCTAATCTAACTTAAAATTAACAATACATCTTATAAAAAAATTATAAGTATACGTTAATACTTAAAAATTATAAAGGTCTCGTAAATTTTTAAATATGAAAAATTAAAAAAAAAAATTTTTGAACAAAAAAGATTTTTTGTTGTTCGTCAAAATAAAACTATAAAAATTTTATTTGTCCAGAAAATCTAATAAAATCTTTTTCAGTGGATAATAGACACAAATTATTTTAAAAACACAAAAACCATAGTCAATAAAAAAAGACATGTTTAAAGGTCATATTTGTGAAAAGATCTCTAATTTGAAAAAATATATTTACAATGATATATAAACGATCAGTCTGGGGGGTCATGGGGTCCTCAACACAAAAAAGTTTGAGAACTTATGTTCTAGATTGATATAACTATAGTACTTGATTCATATTTTTTTATCGATCACATCAGATAAATAATAAAGGGAAATAAAATATAGACTTAAAATTTTATTATCTACCTTATCTTTCCTATTATTATTTATACGCATCATTTTTAATTTGATAAAATCATTTGAGATGAACAACCTCAAATAAAGTCAAAAGCCGGTTTTAACAACGTATTATTTGATAATTACAAGATGTTCAAATTAGTATCACATTAAAAGCATCATTAAATTTAATAAGCATATAATTTAATTCGTTTCGCTATGAATAAGTATCAGAAATTTTTATGAAATTTTATTTTTGAAATGGATTTTCCAAAATAGTAACTTGAAATTGAAATACTATTAATTTTGGTATATAATCAGAAGAATACTTTTTTATGCGTTTGTGTTCCGTTTTTATATATTCATTGGGTACATGATGGACCCTCGCCAGATATCGTTTTTTTTATAAGTTTAACTATACTAAAATTTATTATTAAATATTTAAAGTAAAAATAAATGTTACTTTTATGCATTTATTAATTGAATTTCAAATAATAAAAAAGGTGAGCAAAAAGTAAATGGTAATTATGAACATTTGACAACAATTTTGTAAGAATTATTACAATACAATCACTTTTCAAATACTACTTACACATTTTTATAAAAAAGAACAATATTTTTTCATAAAATTTTCAAATTATTATATGCAAAATATATGCTTCTTTTGCTACTATATAAGTAACATAATATGCAATGATTTAACAACCAATTGCAGCACTTTTTTCATTTTTTTATTAAATTTTATTCTACAATCTGTTTTTCACAAACAATAATGCTATTCTATCTTTAGCTGAGTTATAGTTGATTTTTAAGTAGCTTCTTAATAAAGTTATTTTCTTCATTATTGATCCTGAGTTTTTTCCTGCGGTCATTCTTTTTGGAATAAATTCAAAGAACTTCATACGATCGTAAAGGTTAAGCGCACAGACAGGGTCATGAGTTGAACCTGCTCTGGCAACCTGGCATCGGGCAGCAAAAATGTCATTCTTCCTCAAAAATTTAGATGAACTAGTGGTGTGTGGCATTGTGTCTTAAAGCAAATTGCCGGAACTTCCCGCGCCGTAATGAAATATTTGAGAATATTGAATGTTCTCAAATATTTTATTATAAGAGATATTTCAAGTATATAAGCGAATAGAATACTAGCTAGAATTTAAATTAAAATTCGAATAATTTCAATATTCAAAACAAAATTTGAATCCACACAAAACACACGTCCATTTTTTCTATTAACAGCTAACAATATATATTTGACAAAATAACTAGAGAATTAAATAATTAATTAGAGAAGTAGGAACACACAGCGGCTTATCTACTAGGAATATTTAACATTTAACAAAAAAATCAATAAAATATAGCCAAATTTTAAGTATTTACGTTTAACTGGACTATATGAGGTCTGCTAACAATTTTTTCTTCAACCTGGTGGGCTGGCTCTTTAGGTATACTCTGCTGGCTAATTCATTAAGATCCGTTTATTCTATGTTTGTATTTAGAAGCAGTCTCTGCTATTTGTTCAAAAAAATGTTATCAAAAGTAAAATTTGAATAATCTTCAAAATAAGAAGTTGACATGCTACATTAAATAAAGTTTGTATTATTAACATCCCGTAGTATAACTTTTTGAAAAAAAAAAATTTTGATACGGGAAGTTCGAGCAATTTGCCTTAAGGCACGATGCCATACACCACTAGTTTTTCAGAATATTTCATGTAGAAAAATGAAAAATATACATATTTGCACAGCGACTTGTTTTACTTTTACTCTTACTACACTTTTATATGAAAGCTCACGTTGTTTGAGTACCACAAGCGTAAATCATGATATCGCACTAATAACGACGCGACGTTTTTGTTGTCGAACAAACCGCTATTTCATGAAAAATTCCCGCAAAACGCCATGCATTTGTAGCTCTCTTCGAATTTTTATGAGTGTTTGATTTAATTTGTGCTCTGCCGCTACGCGAAAAGCTTCAGTCGTCGGCTTGCAATATTTAACACATGGATGTGCGGAATTGTCACATAGAATATTTCGAAAAGTTATAGAGGATATAGAAGAGGATAGAAGAAATTAAACAAAAATGCTATTGGGTCAAATCGCTGATTGAAATTCGCTATTTATATATCTAAAAAAAAATATTGGCCTAACTGTTTATAGCATATAGACATTTACATTACTTTATATTTTATATCTTTTCTATACAACGTTCTACATATACATTACATTGCTTTTACATACTTTCTTTTTTATTATTCTACTTAATGACCCTATTTTTATTAATATACTATTTTTTTATTTCTTAATTGCAACAAACACTTTAAACGATAAATATTAATATGTTTAATATCAAACAGATTTAATAGTAGCATCATTCATAGAATAACAATTATTCTTTCATTATTACAGAGCCGGTTCAACATTTCAATTTTGGTTTGTAAAGAATATAACCTTTCTTATACGCTCTAGTTTTTTATTATTATCTTTTGCCATTGTCGAACTATAATTTTGTAAAAAAAATAATTCTGTTATTTGCTTACGTTGAATAAATCTACGGTTTTCTTATAAATACTGTGACATTGTCTAATATTTATAAGAGTTATATAAATTACAAAAGAACTTTAGCCAGAATTAAAATTAAAATCTGAATTATTTTCGATATACAAAAGAAAAATTGATTTTTTTTTTAAAGCAAATATTTTGTCAAAACAAGCAGAAAGTTTTTTGAATCATTCAAATCGGATGCTTAGTTCTTTCAAAATTTCTTTTGAGAGAACTAAGTTCTGCCATTTTTTACACATTTATCTGGGTATCTCCGAAACGGCTGGATCTGCCCTTGTCAAAATCCAATTATCACTTCTCCCTGTCATTACGAATTGAATGTTTTTTTAGATCATTCAAATCGGATGCTCCGTACTCTCAAAAACTCAATTTCTATTTTCTGCACTCTTTGCTCCGTATCTCCGAAACGGCTGGACCTGCATTTGCCAAAAACTAATCAGCACATCTCCCTGTCAATAGAAATCGAATACTTTTTGAACCATTCAAATCGGTTGATCCGTGCGCCCGAAAACGTGGACAAATTGTATTCAGACATACATACAGACACACATTTATTTATTTTTTCTTAGGTTTGCCAAAATGTTCAGAAACCTTCAAAACGTGAAGAAATGGAAACATTTTCAATTTCGATTTTTGGACGATTACAATAACTTACTCTACGAAAAGTTAAAAACAATGATGTTCTTTGATTTGGCATTTCAAACGAACTAGTTTATACACACATAAAATTTAGTTTTGATCATGAAACGGGGAGTTCCCATCTTATCCACATATTTCCACCATGGATATAGACTACTAAGAATTTGTAACAGTAACATACATTTTGTAGTGTTATATTTCAACAGTAAAGTAATGAAAATTTCATTGTAAATATAAGCAAATTAGAGTTTAGTGCTTATAATTTTGTGCAAATGTAAAAATAATAAAATTCGTTGCATTTTCTGAGACTTACAATCTGTATTTTTCTCAGAATCTGAGTACTTACTACATAAAAATATGATGCTAAATCAAAATCTTCTATTTCACCTACAATATGTATTTTAATTCAAATAAGAGTGTTTCAGATTAAGCAAATTACTTAGCATAATAGCTTATAGAAATTTATAATTTTTGATTGCTGTTAATAAACATATATTAGGTTGTCAAATATCTCCCTTCTGCCTTTTTGTATTATAAACCAATAGCAAAAAAGCGGAAGGGAGATATTTGACAACCTAATATATAAAAAAAAAGATTAAGCAAATAATCCAACCTGCCTCAAGATATTGCCATAAAATTCATACTAAATTTTCGATCGAAAATGTCGTTCTATATTCGTCTTATAATAATAATAAAGATTGTTTTATGGATGGTTGGACAGGAGGTTTCCCATAATTGAATTGACATGAGACATGCAAGATTTTCGAACGAGCAGTTCATTTTGTAATTGAAAATAACAAAAATGAACTATGGTCGCAAAAATCGGAACGATACTATGTCATGACAGTATGGTATTATTATCATTATTTGAAATCTATTCTATATGTCAAATCGATTTTACTTAAGAGCCATAAGAGTTGGATAATAATTGTATAAAATCAGGCATTCTGCCAACCAAATGATTGAGGATAATTGTATTAGTTGATTGTATTCGGTTTTATACCCTAATGTAAATGATATTGATTCTAAAATTACATATATGTAGAACTTTTTTTTTAAAATTATTTGTATTTTCAATAGAATAGGAAATAATTTATACAATACAAGTACTTAAACTACTAATAGTTTGATAAAATTACCTGCGTCGACAAGTTTTAAATAATGCATCAAAACGGTAATACGTATTTTTGATATTATAGTCCATATATTTGGTTTTATATGTGTAATTAGTTTTTAATTAGTGCAAGATTTCGGTTATTCATAAATATTTATCTGAATAAAAAAATATACCTTTCATAGTTTTAGTTAAATGATAAAAAATTAAAAGTGACCATAAATCCAGAATAGAACTGATAACATACTAAAATTTTATGAAGAATTATTTAACTTAATCAATGTGAATTGAATGCAGAATACTACATGAATCTTCTAAAATTTTAATTAAATCTAATAGGATATGGATAATCCCTAACTTTATTTAGTTTTTAATTTTAACATTCCTGGAATTACGTTATATGATAGAAAAATATTACTTTTCACTTCATAGTTATTAAATTTATATTAAAATTGCTTTGATCACAAGTTAGCAATGATCTTGCAGATTTATTAACGCCAAAATGATTAATTTGACAATTTTATCAACTGAAGATTTTAATTTTATATTAAAAATCAAATTTAGTTTAAGATTTATTTTCATTTCGTTATTTAGTGGTGTTTTACACATTAAATGCATATTCCGGCTAAATCGACTAATTTCTTAATAATCATAATTTTGCATACATTGATAACTTCCATTTTTTAACTTTTGTTGAAGTTATTTATTTTATTATTTATTATTATTTCATGTCCCAATAATTTCTGAACTGTTGATACTAATCTTCAAATATATTTTATTTATTTATTTATTAACTTCCCGAAGGAGAAGTTTATGTTTTCATAAAAAAATCCGATTCGCTAATTTTATGTTTTCTCGACGTTTTAAGCCATTCTGAATCGAATGAGACCAAATTTGGAAAAGGTGTGTGTGTGTGTATGTATGTGTGTGAACAGATTTTTTGTCGTAAATCGACGTTTTTTCGGCTGGACCGATTTCAAAAATTTAAAAGCCATTCGATGTATCTCTGAGGACCAGCGTTTATAAGATTTGTGCGTCAATCGGCCAAGCCGTTTCTTTGTAATTTTGGAAAAAGTGTTAAACTTTTCGTCCACATTTAAGCTCATACTACCGAATCGTTTTTAAAGAATCAAAAACTGTTCGAAACATATAAGTTGAGAATGATACTGATTAGTTTTAGGTGAAAATCTACCTAATCGTTTTCTTGCAATTAACTGTTGAAAAAAAAATTAAGCTGTTTTTCATGGAGCTTTTTTGGCTATATATATCATAGTCTTATAGAACTTACTGAAATATTACGGCCTTACAACAAGTAGTTTAATTTTAAAACTTCATCAACGTTGGAAAAAATGAGTAGTTTTTTGACGTTTGTTAAAATTAAAATTAGACGATTTACTTGGTATAACGATAGAGTACTTGGTCTTAATGAACCTACTAAACCATTAAAGTCTTACGGAAACTGGTTCAATTATAAAAATTATCGATTTGTGAAAATTTGCTTCTAGAAAATACTCCGAGTTAACGTCCTCTCGGAATTCTTTTAAATTCTAAAACTCTAAATTCATTTATTTATCATGGATTTAGTCGATTATTTACACATATCGGGAAGTTCATGTAACTTGCCAAATACCAATACCAACTAGTTATAAATTATATTTAAAAATATAAAATGTCTATATTACGAGAACACAGATATTTTTGTTTTTTATTTTTTGCTTAAACTATTTAGTTTATTTTACGTTTTATGTTTCGATAAATTTTAATTTTCGGCATTAGCATCTTCAAATATATTTTATTACTATTTCACCATTTTATTTATGATTTCTCTTTCCCCAGAGTCGGCTGTTGAGGCGGCATGGCCAGCCCGGCCGTCCATGCGAGCGGCGCCCCAGGGCCGGCCGGTAGTCAGCAACATCAACTGCAAATCCAGCAACAGACTGATCAGGATATTTCTGATCAGCAACAGCATTTAGCATCAGCCGGACAACCTCCGCAATTGCAACAGATCCGAGGAGCTCCCGTACCTGACGGATGGCGAAGGCTGTTGCATAATGGCGAGATTGTCTACTTCAGGTGAGTTTCTTTTACTGAATTGCTCTGAAAGCCAAAATGATATAGTCTAGTCATTTAGTAAGAATCTCGGAATTCGAGATACCCAGCTGTAAGTCTGTAAATACTTGTATATTGGCACCCTAAAGTTGTCTCAAAACCTACATATGGTATTGACACCCTACTATATGTAGGTTTTGAGACAACTTTAGTGCGTCAATATACAAGTATTTACAGACTTATAGCTGGGTATCTCGAATTCCGAGGTGAACTTACTATAATGACTGGACTAATAGATTATTTTTAATAATATTCGCCCAATATATATGCTGATAGGCACTAACTTTCAGCCAATATATAGACAAATCTTTGAACGACTTTTTAAAATTATAATTTATTTTTATGTTGTGGAAGATTTGGTATGAATATTCGATTTATATTGGTTTTAAATTGTTCGAAACTCCACATTGTTTTTTGCAATATAGAATTTATTATACAGCGTTAAAATAACGTTCTATTTAAAATGTTTTTATGAGCCCTCTACCATCTAATAATAAGAATTTCTTCACTGTGATTGCTTTAACTAGGCTTCAAAAAAATCGCTTTTTTGAGGAATATTTAGGAAGAAAATAAATATTTAATTGAAACGATATATCATTAAAATATATGGCATAAAATTTTGCCAATGCGCCTCGAGCGTGCAGGTGGTCACAATTTCCATCCGACACAAAAAAATCAAAACAAATACATATTTTCAATAATATAGATTCTAGTTGAACCTAAAAAATCCAGAACAAAATGAGAAATTCACCAATTTTTCGCAGCTTAAAAAAATCGTATTTTTGGATACAAAATTTCACTTTAGATTGTTCAAAAAGTGGGTTAATAACTTTTTTAGATTCAACTAGAATAAAAATTTAATCCTGAATAGAATGAATTTTTTCTCGTTTCGATAGGACATTTAGTTTTTTTTTCCTATCTTTCCCGCTAATTAGGAAGAATCGAAAAAATTCAAGGCCGAGAAATCGCGGGTCGAAGTTTTCGTTCCGCTCGTATCCATGCTTGACGCTTGCTCACTATTTCTTCTGAATTTGTTTTGGAAGACATTTTTGCAATTAAAAAAACAATCGATTTTTTAAGCCTCTAAAACAGGCTGCCCCCCCTTAAAACGCAGTAGGGTGTTTCATATATTATCATTAATTTTGCACTAGACAGAATCAATTCGAGAAAAGAAAATTGATCAAAGTTCGTAATTTGTATTTATTATCTGTAGCAAGAAAATTTAGCCTTTACTTCATATAACTATCTGACAAATTACACGGACTTTGACAGTCACGTGTTAAATACAAAACAAACATCCTTGGAATTGTTTGCATAGGAATCTCTAGTATGTATCTTGGCCACCTAATGGCATATATCTTATTTTACCAGATTCGAGGTTTTCTATTCTACAATGCTTATACTATCAACTGATACTATTTGTTATATCAATCGAGGAAAGTAAAATAAGTTTATATTGAAAAAAAATATATCAATAGTAGATATTACGATAAAAGTCCAATATGTTGTCCAATAAGAGTTCTACAAAAGTTTTACTTTGATTAGTTGAATATCATTTAAATAGCAATTTGAACTAAACCACGTCCAAATATAAAAATCAAAATATAAAGATCACTTTACAAAGGCAACCTGTTGAAAATCTTTTTGGCTACATTTGCAATATGATTCTAGTTCAACGCCACGAACGTAAAAGTTTTACAATCCCATCGGGAATAACCCCATATTGATTCTTTTACGACTTGACTTTATTCACAAAGTGTACATTTTCTTTAGATGTTTGGAATGTCTTTCCTGGATGGCCATAGGAATGGATTTTCTTATTTTCAATTGCTTTATTTAAATTTTGTTTCAGGCTATGCTTAATATTTATTTGAAAATAAATTCAAAAATTTTAACATTTTTTGAAAAAGCAAATAAAATTAAAGTGCAATATTACACAGTATTAGTCAATGTAAAAACAGTATTAATCAGTATTTAACTGATTTTGTTTTTGTCTGTTTGCCAATAGTTGAAAATGTAATAGCTTGACTGATTTATATACGTCACTGGATGTATCTACTAATTTCTAATTAATATTATTTTCTCATATATTGTACTAAGAATTTATATTAAATTAATTAATTATAAACTGTTTTAAAATTCGCCTTGATAAAAGGCATATTTTGAAATTATAATTTATGATAAATTAGTATATGTCTGCATCAAATGGAAAATGCAATTAGTACAATGACAATCAATTTTCAATAATAATCATTTTCGAAAATTTCTCCTTGCCCTATGTTAATTATGGATCTCCTCCCATCGAGAGCTTTAATAGAATTATCGCAAAGCTTGTTTACCCTAAACATCTACTTATTATTCGTTGAATCATTGAATAATAGAACATTTCGAGATCTGCACAATACATTTAAAGGAAAGAAGGATTTTGATCGGATATCTTTAATTGTTTCTCTTACACAGACAAAGACAAAAACCAATTCTTTATCTAAACGACTGTTTGGGCCATTAAGAGAAATCACATACAATAAACAAGACAAAGAGAACAACGATATATTTAAACAATGAAATACTAACTACATACAATAGCCTGATTTTTGCAATGATTGACGACGACTTTCTCCTTACAATGATACAGCTAAACAAAAAAGATATCTTTTCACAGTACATTTATTTAGCACGATCATTTGTTGGAAATGCAAATGCATCCGCTTTGACATAAAACAACAATGATAGTTATAACGGTAGATGTTTTTTCAGCATTCTTTGTGATATGTACCAGACAATGAGATCTCTAGTTTTCATTAGATTGAAAGAGAGTAATAAATAGAAGGAAGAATCTCATCTCTATTGCATATGAATAGTTGAGATCAGTGTTTTACGTAACATACCATGGTGTTAATAAATAATTAATTCTGTTTTATGAAGACTTGATTAAGCTACAATATTGTTACTTAACACGATCCCGGACGTGAATAATTTAGCATTCATTTTATGAATGCTATAGCATTCAAATTTTACAGTCAATTTTTTGAATCTTACGTTTTTGTAATTATTCTACTTGACAAGGTAATGACTAACTGATTCTTTAGGTATTTTCGTATTATATTATTTTTTCCTGTGGTCACAAACTAGCTTGGGCAAGCACATTGCGTAAATAGAAGCGTAAAACTTGACGTGGATGCTTTAGCATTCATCATATATAACGATTAAAATATATGGTCATCTGACACCCTCCTAAACGGTGTTCAATCAAATTTCGGATATCATAACTAATTTAAAAATAAAATGACTAATGAAAAATAAAATTTTTGAATCTTTCTGAAGTTTATACTGTTTGCAAACGTGTTAATAAGACTAAAAATAACTAGTGGTGTATGAAATCGTGCCTGAAGGCAAATTACTGGAACTTTCTGTACCGTAACGTAATGTTCGAGGAATATTAAATGTTTTCAAATAGTTGTCTAAGAAATGTGTAATATTTATAATAATTATATAGTCTGAATTACAAAGTTAAGTTTCTTTATCTAAAGTATATATGCGAGCTTTTTAACTTTAGCCAGAATTAAAATTAAAATATGAATTATTTTCGGTATACAAAAAATATCCAAAAGCAGTTGTTTTCTCAGCACAAGCTAAATCATTCAAATCGGATGTTTTAATTTTCTCAAAAACTGCCATTTTTTGTACATTTAGCTCTGTATTTTCGAAAAGGCTGGACCTGCTTTTGCCAAAAATCAATCTCCACTTCTCCCAATCATTACAAATTGAATGTTTTTTGGATCATTCAAATCGGATACTCTGTTATCTCAACAACTCAATTTCTATTTTTCTGCACTCTTTGTTCCGTATCCCCGTAATGACTAGGCCTGCCTTTGCCAAAAACTAATCAGCACATCTCCCTATCAATATGAATCGAATGTTTTTTTGAACTATTAAAATCGGTTGATTCGTGCGCCCGAAATCATGGACGTAAATTTGCGGACACACAAAACACACACTAACATCCATATTTTCTAAGGTATGCCAAAATGTTCAGAAACCACTGAAACGTGAATTTATGCAAAAAAAAAATATTTTTGTTTTATGGCCCATTACTATAAATTACCCTACGAGAATTTAATAATGATTTTGGATAATTTTGCAGGAATTTTGATTTTACGATTTATTAATTATGCTTTCGTTTCAAAATATAATGATATAGAAAATCCATACAAAAAAATATTTTCGTTTTTTATTAAAATCATTTTATTTTCATTTTTTCAAATAATTTTGTATTTTCAACTCTGGCTATTCCTCATTGAATTTATTCCTCATATCATAATTCTTTGTGCAATATATGGAAACGAATAAAATTGCAGTATGTCATAAATTTAAAAATGCAGCATCGACCATTGATGCTTTCGTTCACACAGTCCATTGCATCCAGGAAGTTAAAATTTTCAATCGTGGCACCTTTATTACTCACGATTATGCGATGTGCATTCACGACAGATTTATATTGCCGTGCACATTTCCTACTTTCAAAAAATATTGCATTTATACTGGTACCGCTACATCTATCTACAATGTAATATGCTGGTTTAATATGTATCAGGTACATTCCTTTTTCAAATCATTTCGTCATATATAAATACAGATTGTAAGATGTAATATGTAATATATCCTTTGTATGCGGAATTGAATTTATTTATTGAGAGGCGTACTATTCAGGGCATTTTCTGTTCTTCTTTGAACTTTTTTTTTAAATAATACTATCCTTATATTATTGCAGCATAATATTTGATTAACTTCCATTACAACATAATGTGTAGAGATTGAAAAGAAAAACTTGGATTGTTATTCTAGTGTTGAGGAATGAAATTTTAGGTCAATTTAAATCTTTGTAAAAAAGGCAACAAATTTTTTGCTATTTTTTATAATTTATTTATCAACGTTACAAGAGTATAGAAAAAAAGTGAAAAAAA